AATGGAGATCTTGGATGTCAGTGTAAAGCCCTTCTGCAAAGACATGGATACCGTCGTGAACCGTGCTGCGCACGTTGAAATCGAACAATGACCGGCCACACTTCAACAAATCAGAACAAAATGAGTTCGACAGTGGTGGGGAACAAAACGCTATGGACGCAAGGTCTCGGGAGAGCTCTTGGTTTAAAATTACGATCAATGAACCCGGCCAAAGACCTACCTGCCCCCCCCCCACAACAAACCGTGCCCTCCGTGGGTGTCGAACAAGTGCTCCCAGTGCGCGCGAGTACATCGTCCTACGCTGCTCCGGGCGGCAAAGGATAACAAACTCCAAAGCTCGCGCAGGGAATTCTGGATGGGCCTCGAGTGGTCCACCACCACGGCCAGAGTGGTTTTTGGCAGAAACGTCAGGACGGTGACCATGGACCATGGGGCAGCTTTAGGAGGTCTTCTTTGGAGTGCAAAAGAACAACTTTTGGCTCTAAAGAAATTCTCTTCAATGTGGTCTCCTTTCTTGGGGTTACAGTAGGGGAGGCAATATTTGCCATAGCTGCCAAGGCAAGTTGATCTCTGTGCCAATTCAGAGTATCTCGCAACGTGGTGAAACGGTCTATGTCTTCGCCCTGTTGGTGTGTTTGACCGCACTAGACACTTTGGTCCACCTCTTTTTGAAAAAAAAGATCCTAATGAGCAACCTCGTAGATCAGTGACTCGGTGCCGCCTGATGTCTGGCACAATCCTTGATGATTGCCTGGCTTGCCTTGTCTAATTAGCTCAGACTTGAAACTGTTGAGCTGGCGTCCACTGCAAGCTTAATTGGTGGCTATTCAGTTTTGTGAAATGCCTTCACCCCAGTGCACGTGCTCAGGCAGATGTTCGTGCTGAGCTTCATCACTGGCAGACTTCAATCGTCAACCAGGTTGATTGCTCCAAAACAATGATTCGAAACTTCTGGAAACCATCTTGACTGTCTTGTTTCAAACATTTTCAAACATACTGGGATCTTGTCACATCCTTATGATCATCTAGTTCGAGCATGTCAAAAAAGTGTGCAAACAGAATATCCTGATGTTAGGTCATTGGATGTTTTTGGACTCTTTGTTTGGCACATGTCATTGTGTCGATTGAGTTCCCTCCATCCAGCCGGCAGCTTGAACAATTCCACTGTTTCTTCCGTTTCTGCCGCTGGTGATCTGTCAAAGGATCGGAAGGTTCCAAATGGATTGAGCCGATTTCTGTTCCACAGGTTGGTGGGTGGTTTCTCGATCTTTCTTGTTTGCAAAGCTAGACAAGTGACCTCTCACTCTGCTGTAGGTACAGGTTCTCTGCATGGACCATTCACCAATCGTCGCCAACGGGCCCGGTTGGACTCCTTATCCCACGTGCATCTGAGGCATCCCACGTGCCCGTGAGCAGCAACCGATGGCGGCAAGGCAAAGACCTCACGACCTGCGCAGCGGTGCACGGCGTCGACACCCGACGCAGCGCGCCGTTCGTTCGCAGTTCGCACCGGGCAAACGAAAAGAAAGCATCAAGAATGGGTGTCCAAGGGACATCCCTATAAGAAGTGTAGGTTAGTCCATTGGACACCCAGACAGGATGCTCCTGCTATGAACCAAATTTGGGGGACTGGCAGGTCACGCGCGGGCGCGGAGGGCACGCGTGGAGGAACATTGGTTGGTGGCCTGGCTGGCGTGGGTCTTGTAGTTCTTGATCCGATGACCTTCATCCACGATGAGACCTCAGGTCGCACAGCGCAAGTGCGCTTGCCATCCCATGCCGAAAGGAAGTGCGCGTACAGTATGCGAAACATGGGTGCCAAGGTGTTGATGGCCCATTTGAAAGGACCTTTTGTTCCAAGTTCTGGACAAACACCGACGCACCATTTTCCAAAGGGGCTCCTACCACCTGCGATGGTGGTTAGGGTGGGGTCTGACCGCCTTTCTGAGGATATGGTTTGAGCATGTTTGAGCCCTAGGGTTTATAAGTTATATAATAGGAATTAAAGAAACAGAGGCGACCCGTTTGGCCCCGAACCAATTTCTAATATATTGTTTCCTTCGGTCCCAACACCCCAAAACTGTCTACGGGTCCTTTCCGAACCTTTGGGAAATGGTGCCCCTGCGCTGGCGGAACTGCTGGCGGAGTATCCATTGAGATGAATGGAACAATCAATTCAAATTGAAGATGAAGATTGATCCTTCAGGTGAGTTAAACTGAATTGAACATTGAGTTCAATTGATGAAGATGTGGGAGCTCCAAGACCACAAAAAGGCACTGACTCCAAGCCATCAAGACTTGATCCTATCCAGACTATCCTGGATGTTTGCGGTGTTAGAAACACCGGACGAAACAACCTCTCCCCTGGATCGAGGAGGATTCATCCAGGAAGATCTTGATCATGCAGGCTCAAGATGGATAAGGAGGGTTCGTCCCTAGGGCTCCAGTGGTTAGACCCCCCGGGCACCCACCCCAACCATCTTGTCAGGAGGTGGTTGGAGCCCGAGGGTGTACCATGTTGTACCAGACCATGAGCTTCTTCCAGGCGCCATCCTTCCACCGCGCCGCGCGCGTCGATCGTGCCCGGTTCTTTCTGGGGTCGCCGACAGCACCAGGGGAAGTTCTTCAGGAAGGTGTCGTGGTGGGCCATCGTCTGATCACACACGAAGCCCCACGAACACACGAACACACACACACACACGGTGTGAACGAGGTCCGAACGTGAACTTCTCAGATCTGGACGGCCATGTTCTCTCTTCAGACGTTCCTTCGAACCCGGCGGAATGATCAATGTTCACTTTGGGAGACAGGGTCGGCCACCGTTTTTTCCACGAACCCGCGATGCGGCCAGAGGGGTCCACGATGAAACAGTATACAAACCCTTTTGGGCATGGTCAACAGCCGACTTGAGACGTCAAACGTCGCGGCTCCCCGAAGCAATTCACGAAGATGTACTATCACTTGATAGTTATATATTGGTTCTTCTCTATATATAGCTAGCAGCTAACTGCTTTTGTTCGATCTCTTTCAGAAAGGGAAGCTGTGCACCTCGAAGTTCGTGAGGATGATGTTCACCTTTCCGCCGCCCACCGCCTCCTGCGATGCACACTGTGACCTCCTTATTGAAGAGCGACACCGGAGACCCATTGGAGACCCATTTGGATGGTCCTGGTGCTCAATCCTTGAGCTCTCCACAGCCTTTGTTCAGTCCTTCTCCATTAGAAACTACATCTTCTATTTCTCTTGAACGCTTTTCAACATGAATTCATAATACTTTCAACTCAGTAGTATTCAGCTTTTTGGCCGATGGTATACCAGGTATACTTTCGGCACCGCACCAGGTCGCGCCACAGGTCGCCCCGCGTCGCCGCGCTCCTTCTCCACGGCGGCCAGCTGCGCGGCGGAGCCGCGATAGACGAGGAAGCGGAAGGAGGGCAACCACTGGAGCAGCTCGTCGCACCTGCGCGGCGCTGCGATTTCGCTGCCAGCGAGGCCAGCGAGGCAGGCCGAGGCCGAGGCGCCGGCGAAGGGAGGGGTCCAGCGGCAGCGAACAGGACGTTATTTTTTTGTTTAATTGGAAGGCGTGCTTGGTTTTGGTGGGTTGGCTTTGTTGGGTGACTGCTGCTGTGGCCTCCGGATCCAAATTATACAGAAAGCAATGCTCATGTCGCACAGCCGCCATGGCAGAATTTGGTGTGACTCTGTCGTAGCAGGAGAACCAAATCAAATATGCAATCTGGATGGTGACATGGTGCGCTTGGATGGGGGGTATCCAAGCTGACTCAGGGGAAGAGGGACCTTGGTCATGCCAAGCTCATGAACCTGTAAGGCATGCTTTGACGTTTCTTGGCTTCCAGGGCCCAATTTGCTATCCATGGTAATGAGTGCAACAGGACATACCAGGACCACCTTGTACACTACTGGCTGAGATCGCTATGAAGGACCCGCCCCCCCCGATTGGCCCAGGAGGTGCGCACATTGGGACTGAGCTGCTTCCGCAGCTGAGAGGAACCGGGCATGGAGCTGCTGGATGCCCTCGCCTTCCCCCGAAACATCAAAGGCCCCCGTAAAGAGTAAGAGTAAGAGTTGCAAAAAACATCCTTCCAAGTCTATACCATGAGACTGGAAGGTTATAGGACATGTTGAGTACATGATATCTAGCACTTCCAACACCACAAAACACTCCAACTAACACTTCCAACAACTCCGAATAGCTTTTGCTGGACCGGGACCCGGGCCAATGCTGCAGTGTGCTCATGGGTGAGATCACCAAATGGGGACCTGCAAAACGCAGCTCACCGACGGACACCGACAAACACCTACATCGCGGGGCTTTGGAAACTGAAAAGCTTTTCCATTTGATGCTCCGGATGTCTTACTGTAGTCCAAAACACTGACTGGGTGGTTAAATGTAACCCTTCTAGTCAGTGGCCTCATCAGCGACACTTCTGACCGAAGGGGCCCAAGCAGTTCTTGTGGCCAATGGAGTTGCTTGAGAACCATGAGCATCATGAGCCACGCCCCAGCATCTGGTGGAGAATCGCCAAAAGAACATCTGAAAAACCGGGATCAAAAAAACATGTGTTTCTTTTTGTTCGCACGCAAGCTGTCTGAAAAAGGCCCTAATTACATCGCGGAGCGTGGGTTTTTCAGTGAGTTTCCCAATCGGATGGTTGACGTGGTGTCTAAAGGATTACAATTACAGTGGTTTCAGGTGGCTTCAGAGTAGATGGCACAAACCCGAAGATGTCTTTAGATGGGGATCCATATACGGTAAACCACCTTTTGGAGATTGTGCCATCTATTCTGAAACCACTATTAAAGAAAGCTGTGACCTGATCATGGTGTTTCCAGAAACCTCCTGGACCACAAAACCTCGGAGAACCACGGACAACTCTGGTCCGTCGGATCACAATGAGTTGGTGGAAACCTCCTGCAGCTTGGGATTTGACCAATGTCCCACACCCAAAGACCCCGTCCAAGGACTGAAGACGGAGGATGCTCCATTTTTCCTCTCCCGGCGCGGTCGGTCCTTCCAACCATCTTGGTCCTTGGATCGTCTTCGACGAAGCGCGGTCCCTCCGATCGCAGCGGACATGCCGGCGGCGCAAGCCCGTGTTCCACGGTCGGGCTCCGGGACCGAGTGTCACACTTCCTGGAAGAATCATGGGCCGTGGATGGTATGGCTCCGTTTTCGGATGACCATGAGTTGTCGCGAAGACCAGTCTCAGGTGGTGGTGGTCTCATCCACTTCCGAAATGATTGTTTCCTTCATAAAGAGTGTAGGTTCAGCAAGGTCTTACAGATCCTCACAGGTCGACTGTTGTCATCATGATGGGTGAATCCAAAGGATCCCTAGCCTCCCGAGTCTGACCCACCCCGCAGCAAACATGAAAGTGAACAACCCCCCTCTTGGTATTCCAAGGGGCCATGTCATCCACGTAACCATGATTGTTGCAGGGAGGGTGTCCCATTGCCATTACAATTGATGCATATTGATGCTATAATTAACAATTAACATCCGCCCTCAGAACTCTCTTGGCTCAAATATCCAAAGACTCCTCTTGGACAACGGTGCCAAACATCACCAAAAAGATAACTCGAAGCGATGCCAGTTCTCCGAAAACTCGTTCTCCGAAAACGACCACGCCTCATGCGTCCGCTGAACCCGAGCGTCGAAAACGGAGTTAGCCCAGCGCGCCCGTGTGAGGCTTGAAGTCGTGGCCAAAGGTGGTGAGATCCGTGGGCTGGCGCCCGCCCAGGTCGTTGCAAGCAGCTTCCGGCACGTGGCCCGCATAGCCCACCAACTCCTGGATCCGAGTCGCCTAATGAACATGCTTCCGATGGAAGGTGAACTAAAAGCGACAGTTGACAGTCGGCTGCCGTATGAGTATACCTGGACCTTCCACGGGTGTGTTTTTTTCTGCCGTTTGGCGAAACATCACAAATTTCAGTCGTTTGCCGTCAAAAACGCCGTTTCATTTCAAAAGTGCCGTTTCAATGTTTTTACAGAGGTTGCCAAATTAGCAGTTGGCAAAAGTCGCCGTTTGGTCGGGGAAAGTCGCCATTTGGTTGGGAAAAGTCGCCGTTTCAAAACCTTGACTTACCATGGAAAACATGTCAATGCAAAAAGTGCTTCAGTGCAAAATAGTTGGCGTTTGTTTGAAAAAGCAGTTTTGATTGAACAGGCAGAAAAAACATGCATACTTATGAAGACCCAGGTATACTAATTACGGGCTCCTGTTGGCCTTCTCTGTTCCTTTCTGTTCTGCTTTATTCTAGCTCCTTCTGTCTGTACCCATGTCTGCTTCTGTTTTGTTTTGCTTGAGTTCTATAATATTTGGGGTTCTATTCCTACCGGACATCAGCCTGGAGCTTCAGTTGCCAAAATTAGCTGATACGATATATATGGAAACTATATATTGGACATCTTCCACATCCCTTCACAGTGTGTCCAAGACCACTGTTGAGCTCTTTGCATGTCACAGAACTTCTTTTCTAGGGTTTCCGTAATTAATTACCTGAACCGTGTTCTGAGAAAAGACATGGACTTTGTCACGTCCTTGAGATCTCTCTCCTGCAGGTGTCCCGAAGGAAAGGTGCTTCCTGCTCGTTGAATTCATCTTGTTGGATCAGCTTCCCCGAAAGACCCAAGTTCTAGACTGGTGCTGGAACTCCAGCAGAGTGACCCTTCGCACCGGAGTGGACGAGTTGACGTTCCAAAAGAACCTGCGCTTTGTCCGACCGCGAGTTCCGTCTCTCCCGGTGAAAGATGTGGATGATATTGGTCTTGTCCACCGATCTCGGCTGAGTGCCGCCCGCGGCGCGAAGGTGGCTCTCGCTAAAGCCAGGGTAAGTGGGAACACTACCTCAGTGAAAAAGGTGTGGCAAACAGAAACATGTGAAATCACTACGAAATCAGAAGCACACGAAATCGATTTGCAAGCTGGGTGTGTTCATGGCACCCAGCTTGTGGATGCCCGTCTGACCGATCCTGACCCTGCCACGACCTCGGCCCACCGCCCGGCAAGGCTTGTAGACACTCCTTTCTCTGGTTTGAGCTTAAGATCAAATCCACATGTTGCAAACTAAATACTTGATTGGGATAACCGTCACAAATAGTTTGGACACAACACATTTAAGTTCAAAGTGGCCAGCTCTGCGCCGCTAGCTAGGCCGCTAGGCCCTAGCTCCAAGACGCTACGACGAAGAGGGATGGGATCTGCTTCTGTTCACCGACCATTGCTACCAAGCACCAGTTGCAAACGCTCTGGTTTGGGGCCACAAATGCCCAAACGTGGGTTGAAAGAACACGGAACGAGAGCGGACAGACTCTTTGACTTGAGCGGACGGTGCGGCCATGGCTGCTTGGCTGCCAAGCAAGTAAGTCAAACCTTGACATCGCCAAGATGTTGGCACAAACATGAGGCGCCCTGTCCTACTTGAGCAAGCACTTGTCACAGCTTGACCATGAGCTCTGCCGCTCATCTGGGCCGGGGGGGTGTCACAGGTTGCGCCTGGCGCTCCGACATCAGTTTCAAATTGATCTGCGCGCACAATGGAGGGGATGAAGTGCGACGCATTTTTGTCGGCAACCAGGAATGTCAAACCCATGGCAGACTTAAGTTGTATGATGTTGTATGTGTTCACATATTGTGTGAACATTGAAATGTTTATGCCAATGAAACTCCCAATGAACTCTATATGTGACGTTATAACCACCACTCGCTTCCTCTGCATATTTCCCCACCCATTCTCGGTGAGCGACCCTGGTAGCCCGGGATGTGGTTGGTACCTTTCGTGCTGCCAGCAGTGAGGTCGTTCTTGAAGAACGGCATGGTGGTATCCTCGCTCCAGCAGCATTTCATGGCATTTCACGAGGGAGAACCCCCAACCAATAGGTGTTCATTGCTCTGGAGGGACTACAGATAGAAAAGTGACAGGGAAGCTTTTGCAACAAAACCGCCCAAAATGCAGGTCCTCCTGGGGCCTGGGAGGTGTTGGTGTATGTCAGCTGGTACGAGTAGCTGGTTCTCCTCACTCAAGCCTTGCAAACATATAAAAAATTGTAAGGAAACTGTGCCCCCCAGCCAATATCCGCAGTCAACCAGTCTGAGCTGCCTGGCACGGGTATTCCCATGGTGGTGTTCCCCACATCTATCGGAGTCACCGCTGTCTCGGATTCACCGCTGTGCTCCTTCCCCAAATCCGTCCAACTCCCAAACACGACCTGCCTGGGAGTGGAATTCAAACCAGGTCAACATGGTCCACCACCCCAAACATTGTATGCAATGTCCCCCCGCCCATGTCCAGAGCGCCGAGGTCGTTCCGCTCCGCTCCTCTGGGGTGATCTTGTCTCTCGGATTGCACCCGTTGCGCCCGTACTCCGCCTGCCAACACGACAACGGGAGCGGAACACGGAGGGTTCAGACGCACGTGGAGCGCGTCGAACATGGAGGCCCTCACGCGTTGAACATGTGCCACAGGCACCGCGAAGCAGATTCACCATGCACGGAACGGTTTCGGACGGTTTCGAGGTCTGAAACGCACCTGATTGCAGGTAAAGTCCTGCACTCGGCTCATGCAACACCTGAGCGGCTCCGACGGAAAACCGCCCCCCCCAAAAAAAAGTGACATAAAACGCATCTGTTGACTGGCCAAAAAGGCTCAACAAATAACAGCCAGTTCGCGGTGGTCTTGACCCTCACATCTAGGGTTTTGGACCGAACCAACAGTTAGTTCGGGTCCAGCCGAGCCCGTTGGCACAGTGCACACCCATGTATGCCCAAGGGACAAGCATGGACACTGGCAAAGCACCAATGGAAACATCGAGAACAAACAGGGAAACGAAGAAAGGCCATTGACACTATGAAGAGTGGAACGTCAGTTCCTTGCAGGCTGCAGGATGCAGGTGGAGGGTCGTTGCCTTCAACTTCTTAGTTGATCATGATATCTACCATGAGCAACCTATTGCTGTAAGGCAGATTTCATATGAGAAGCAAGTGTTTCACATGCAGAACTTAGTGGTTTTGATGTCCAACAGAACCACTTCTTCCTCTTCCATTCACCGCCTGGTCCGGATTGTATCAATGCCCTCTTTTCGCCAGGTCCTCGAATATGTGTACATTGTTCGACACTGGGGTTGTTCCAAAGAACTCCACCTCCCTCTTCAAAGGAAAACAATAGCAAGACCAATTCCTGCCGGGCGACCCAAAAGCACCCGGTCCCGAACACAAAACGATCCTTACGTTCCTTCCATGTGGAGCTCCATACACCAGCAACATTCCAGGTTTGGAGCTTTTGGAAGCGCATCTCCATGCGAAACGTGAAACAGCAAAGATTCCACATGCAAAATATGGCGTATATATGGCTGGTGTACACACCAAATGGAGGGTTGATTCATCAACAGCCTGTGGGTTTGGGGCCGCTATACTCAGTTAGCCATGTTATCCTCCCCTTCCCTGACTCTTATAGCTGCATGAGAATCAATAAATTCATCAGCCTATATAATACCACTGAAGCAATTCTATAGCAATCCTTGAATGGCCGCTTCAGTGGTTTTGAATAGGCTCTTGAATGGCCGCCCTCCTTGAATCGCCTTTTTCTTCCCACCTCACCGGTCGCTTCTTCCGCCCACGTCAGACCACCAGCCTCGGCGTCCTCACCACCCGCTCGGCCAGGATCTGCTGCGCCGTGCGCTGGGGCTTGACGCGCTGCCCGCTGCGCACGGCGCTCGTGGCCGATTGCGTTTCGGAGCGCCAGTGAGCGGTACCGCCTGCAGCGGTATGGAACAAACTGCCGAAGCAGTGCTGGAGCGGCGTCTCGACGAGTCATCTGATGGACGGCCGAAAGGTTTTTCTTTGTGGGTTGTTGTTGCACATGAGGAAGTGTGGATAGACAGACTTCTAGAGGGACCTTCTTATCGCAACTGGTGGCGCATTGACCCAACTGCAGGATGAACTCTGTTTCGTTGCCTCGGTCAACTGAGTCAATTGGGCCAACCCTCAGGTGCCATGAACGTTTGTAGCAATTGACCCGGAAGAAACAGAGAAGGGTTCATTCATGTTCATTCCACCAGGAAAACACTCATTGATTTGTGGAATACCGTCCAAATAGCCACTGTGGGAGGCCACAATCGACCATGTCTAGAACATGATCTGCCCCAAACGACCCACGGGTACGCACGAAAGGGCGTGCTGCCTTCCTTCTGATTGCTCTCCTTTCGGGCCGCCGAAAGCAGCATGAGACCCCGGTAATCGCTTGGGCTGGGCTTGGAGCACACGTGCTTCACATACTCCGACTCGATCTGCCGATCCTCGCGGAGAAACGCGCCCCGCCGTACGGCGGGCGCGTCTGCGTACACGGCCGTTTTTTCGCGCTGCAGTCGCGGCAAAAAGGGACTCACACGTGTAGACACGACCCGTTTGGGGAGCGATGCATCAAAACAGCTGGTTTGACCGTCTGAGAACGCTCACGGTACACGTCAAGTCTAGGACGGCGCTGGGAAGATGCGCCACCGGCATCCAACTTGTACCAGGACCCTCCGTTCGGGGGTGTCTATCAAATTGATCCTGAGAGGTGATTTGGGATGTCTAAAAGCCACACTTGGAAGACTTCTGGTAGGGCATACTGGGGCGGATGACCCCACAAAAACGCCTCATTTAGGGCTTGATATGGTGCCTTTATCCGCAAGAGAAAACTTGGGTCCTCACCCTCTTTCTCCACCTGTTTGTTTGAAGTGGGAACAAATCCCAAAACAAAAAAGAATTGCAACCACATGTTAGAACATAAAACACAAACACACTTCGAACTTCGAACTTGGGTTTTCAGTTAACGCAATTGTCTCAATGGGAAGGAAGGCGATGGAACGGCATGGTGAAGAGTCCGAAAGACTTGTAGGTGTTTCAACAAGTTGTTGGTCAAGTCTGCTGCACGATCGGTCGGCGCGGCCCAGCTGCAAAACAAACGCGGCAAAGGGAAGGTTTTGGGGAAGTATCATGAAGAACCATGAACCAAAAACGTGGAAAGTGGAGTCACAGCATGGAGAGAACTCAGCAGGTACACAATGCGGCGTCCCGCATTGCTTCACGACCGATCCATCACTGTCTTCGTTGGGCAGTGAGTGATGGTGGTCCACTGCCATAGGTAATACTCCCCTGCTTGATGGAAATGGTGAAAGGAGCCCTTTTTCCAGGGGTGGACACACACACACACACAAACACAAGTGGATGATCGAAAAGGACTCGTGCCGGCATTGAGCTCTCAGGTTGACCTCGACTTTCACTGTGGGCAACACATGACTATCATCAAATTGGTATGAGGGTGCTGGTAACAGGTTTTCCATTTCGCTCAATCTGGTGGCCTGACGCAAAGTCTGTGCCTTGACAGCAACAGCAGCTTGTCCTCAAGGAGCTTCGGCGGCAAATGGTGTTTGAAGCCCTTCTCGGCAGCTTCCGCGGTGTACAAACCGCTGGGATTTAACGCGGTCTGGCCCGGTTTCAAGCACCTCAAGGTCATCATCAAGCATCCGGGTGAATTGCTTGGAAGGATGGAGATTGGTGAGGTTGAAATTTGAAGCACAGGCGTTGTTCTTTTTTTGGATTTGCTGGCCACATGCACTGTGCATCAAATTGCATGTCAACATGTCTCCCAGCTGCCATCCTTTGAAGGGTCTCAAATCCTCGTGATTTTGAGGGGCAAGGACAGTTTGGAGAATCTGAGCTGATCTATATCAAAGATATATGACACAAATCTGAAATCGATATGTCTTTCACATATCAGGAAGGAAAGTGTCAATTGTTGCTCTGCAGGACCGCTGGGTTATGGTATAAGCTGGTCAAGTGAGCCTTGTGGTGAAACCGAATGGCATTTTCAGCCACACGACTCATGATCGCAGTCCAAGGACCGCCGTCCAGTGTAGTTCTGAGCAATTGATGAGACGGTTCTTTTGAATATGGGCCCGAAAGGGTATGGAAAAAGTATAGTTATGATATTTAACTTATGATATGGTGTTTTGGGGTTGTAATTTTCTTTGTCAGGGTTTGCCCCCAAGGCTCTCACATTTGTTGTCCAACACATTCCCTCTTGGGGATCCCTTTGGCCGAAAGGAGTGGGGGGGGGGTGATCTTCGGTCATGCTCAGAGAAAAAAGAAAGCAAATCCAAAGAAGCGATTTGGAGTGCTATGTTCGAACAGTAAATCTTCTCTACAAAAAGGTGTTTCAAGTCGTTATATATCTATTGTTCTATCACCTGCTCTTGCCAAAGCAATTACTAATGGTGAATCCTTCCAAAGAATCATCAAAGTAAACACCGCCAAAACCCACTACTCGCGCAATCATGTCCAGCACCATCCACGTCCGGCCATTCAGCAAAGTGGGGTGCTGAAGGGCGTTAGACAATATGAACCTGAAGCCCCAAAAGAGGAACGCCCAGCTGATCAGCAAATATGGCAGTCCCATGGAGTGGATGATGAAATGATGGACAGAAGCTAGACCCTGCTAGACCTATATAAACCTCAAGCATAGCTCATTTTACATGGGTCCGTGAAAATGCAGAACCAGTCGATTGAGGTCTTGCTAGACCCGGATTTGAGTGGAACACATGCCATCCCGTGGACCCCCAGGTCAACCACCACTGGTGGTGATCACTGTCACATCCACCAAGTAGCGGAGGTGACACTTCATGGGAAGGAGCATAGATGCTGTGTTGAACGGCCCGCTTCGGCACGTGAGACATGTGAGACATGACGACTAAGGCCCTTTTAGACCGGGCGTTCACGTCTCCTCTGCTTCGTGCCAAAATGGCTACAGCTGGAACCGGTCGACCGAACACGCCCGTGTGATCGCCGCGTGACTTGGATTTGCTGTCGAAGTGAGAGAAATGTAAAGTAATTGTATATTCCACTGAAAATACAATCAAGTTGTTTTTAACTTTTTGTGTTGTTTGTTCCATTTCTTTACCACTTGCAGATCTCTGTCCCGTCTTTTTCATGGAGAATCAACGACTCACGCCGTCTGCACCGGACGTCCGACCCGGCGACACGACCCGGCACCTGGTTGCTGCCGGTGCTCGGCCAGGAGGGCCAGGAGGGCCAGGGTTTGGACGGTCTTCCCGAGACCCATGTCCTTAGGAGCGCGACGCGAACGCGAACGCGAACGGGGCGATCGCAAAGGCGACTCGAACGAAACGATCGCATCGCGACTCGATGGCTGGATGGGCTCCAAGCACTCTACCTACTGAGAAGCTGGTTGGGGTGCCAGGGAGGTCTAAGCACCGAACCTGAGGATATGGTTGGAGCCCTAGGGGATATTATATATATAGCGATCTGTGGTTTTGGTTTGGGAAGTCGGGAAGTCTTCCAGAAACTCCATTTCTGGAGGTCCAGATGGAGTTCCCGGTCCTGAGGACAAACACCACAGACTTTGTTTGCTTCTCTTCACACATGGTCCAGTCCCCAGATTCACACGACATCCCTTGGGGGGGGCATTTTGTATCTACAAATGCCTCACCCCAGGACCAAACCAAAATCCATCTATACAATCAAGCCCCCGAAGATAAAAACCTTGAGTCTACAATATTATTGGGTTGGTGGTTTTCCTAGCTCCGGTGCCTCCTAGCTCCACAAAGAGTTCGACCGAGTTTTTCATACATTGGCATAAAATCTGTCGAGAAACTCTGTTCCATAAAAATTGTCTTTTCTATAAAATGGTAGTCCAAGACAGGGGTTGACCAAATTTGTAGAGTACATTTACAGGGAATTGCTTGATCCTCTTTTTCTGCTCCGCTGGCGTACCCAAGAGAAAGTAAGGGCCGTACGCTTCAAGCATGTCTTCATGTGTTCTCAAAATTTTCAAAAGGGATGTCTTCAGTTGTTCTTGATCCTCCTAGGCTGATGACGGATGATGACTCTGAACAAAACAAATAAGTCACGAAGAACAGGGCTTTGTCCGCGTCTTCAGACCGATGTTCCCAGTGGCGCGGAAAGACTGAATGTTGAAGGTCTGGTCCACCCACTCCATGACACTGGATTATATAAATACTATATAACCAATCACCAATCTAGGCAAATATAGCAGTCCCATGTAGTGTCTATACTAATGAACCGGAATCAACCATTCTCCACAAGCACGTGGAACCGGAATCAACCATTCTCCACAAGCACGTGGAACCGCACTTGTCGACACATGTCGATCGACCCCAAACAGGCACCGAGTGTCATCTGCTAGGATGCCACTCATCTGATGATCGATCAGCCTGGTGAACTGAGTGGTGGGAAGGAGCTGTTGATGCGCCTGACGCCTCTTTGGAAAATAAACATACTAGTCACTAAGCAAACGCTCCACGGTGGCACAAAGATGGCCTACCACCATGGAGGGTTTGGGTTATCTTTTTCACAGAAAGAGTTGTTGTGTTCGCAGTGACGGTACCAGTACTGAGTGGGAAAGAGAATCGAGGCATTTCTTTAGCAATGCTCTTTTGCACCCCATGAACCATTTTGGGCTTCGAGAAGTCTGGGCCAACATGGCGGCGTGCTCCTGAAAAATGCATACCCCCAACCACCACGAGTTCGCCGAAATGCCGCTTTTCAGGTTTGGGAGGCCATTCTTGCGGCGTGGTGCTGCTAGTTGTTCCGAAGCAATCAAGAATCAGCTGATCCTTGTGATCACCTGAAGAGTCTCACTTCAAAAAGGGTCCACCAGGACATCAGACTCCTCCGCGGCGGGGATAATAATGATATATAGACCTGCAAGAATGGAACAACTGCAAGACTCAGGTCCAAAAAACAAAGTTGGTGAATCTCTGAATGGAGTCGAAACAAAATCTGTTCATAAGTCCCTGCTTGGAGTGAAATGAGCTGGCTTTCAAACCTTGACCCAACTTCCTATACCCTAGGGATCCAAGTACCTTCTCAGAAGGTGACCCTCCAAACCTACATAACGGTGTCTCCCTGCTCACCATCTGAGAAGGTACGACTGGATCCCTATATACAGAAATATTATATGCCAAAGCATCATTGTGCCAGTAGCTTCCCAGTTGGTGAGAGGTACATTCCGCAGATTCCCGAAATTCCAAGTGGAAAGGAATGGCATCCAAACGTACCAAAGAAACAGAAGACTGAGCCAAAAAGCAACACTTTGTAAGACTTCATAAGGTGAAGCGAATGAATCATTTTTTTTAAACACAACCAGGCTCCGAAGGCCGCACTTCTTGGGGATCACCTCAAAAATAGGCTGAGCTGCACACCTCCTCCACAAACCTTCACCTGTATCATTGGGCTCTTCTCAAATTGAGTCGTTGTAAAACGCGCCTCCTCCCGGTCCCCGGTCCGCCGGGCCTTGTCATCCAACGGAGCCCGTTCAGTTGATGCGGCATCAGCGGCCCGTGCCTCGACGTGGCATCCAAGCTGTTCACGAATGGAGCAACAAGCGTAGACGACTCCATTCAAACCTGGAGACTACTCCAAATCATCCAACAGATCTCCTATCACCATCTATTATACACTGAAAAATCTCCGCCTGGAGAACTTTTGGATGATTTGGATGGTCCAGGAAGAACCTTTTGGACCATAGTCCCGTAGCAAAGATGGGATTTTGAGGTGGGCCTGACACCAGGGTAATTTCTCCAAACTACTCCATTTTGTCTGATGATCTACAATTTAGGGTGGAGGCCATCGCTCTTAGGTTGGAGGTCATCGCTAGTAGGTTGGAAGTTGGAGGCTAGCGCTTGTTGTATGCAAGTATCCCATACTCCCACAAGAACGCTTTGTCAGATCTTCCCGGTTCATCTTGGATGCTATGTTCAAGGCCTACACCCCCCTGTCAGCCCTGCAGTCGCGCTTCAGTCCAGTTACACCAATGCCTTGGGCTGTTGCACATCACTTTCACTCTCCGGATTCACACCCAACTCGGCCAGGATCCGCTGGGTCTCGTCTAAGACCTCTTGCAACCGCCGATCCTGTGGATTCGTCGCTGAGGGAGGGCTGGTGCTTCGTCGCTGAGGGATTGCCAAACATGACCCAAGTCTGATGATTCACTGGGTGTCCAATGGTTAATTTCTTGTTACCAGAAACCAAGATCACACAATGGTAATTCTAGCAGAAACTTGCGGAATTGCTCGCTTGTCAAGATGAATATCACTAAACGTCTGCAACTTCGAAACCTGAACTCCTATTAGCGGAGGCCATTGCTATTAGGTGGAGGCCAGCGCTATTAGGTGGAGGTCATCGCTATTTTGGTGGAGGCCATCGCTACTAGGTGGAGGCCATCCCTATTAGGTGGAGGCCATTGCCATTGGCTACTAGTAGCTACTATAGACTATAGGTTATAGGTAGTAGGTTACTAAGTACCTTCATCAATTCCCACCAACCAAAAATATCAGACTAATCGTTTGACCTGCGACGACTAATCGTTTGACCCGCGCGTCGGCATGTGTGAACTGAAACAAACTGGAACGACTCTTCCGGAACTGGTTCCTTGGTCTCCTGGACCATGGCAACGTACTCCTGGGAGGAGGGTGGCACACATGGCACACCGCTGGTTGATCACAGAATGTGCGGCGTAGATGGGGCTTGACACCACCGTTAGTGAGAATGGAATGAATGGACGGCCGAGATCCACCGGAATCGCTGTTATTTTGGGTGTGCGGAACCGCTCAAGCTCGGGATGGTGAGCGTGTTTGTTTCGAAAGTCAACTTGTGAAATGTCTCATCGAGACCAAAGGACATTGCTGCACACTTGAGCCAAAAGGAACAGTGTGCCCGCAACCTGGGTATCGATATTTAGCACTGACGCTGACGATGCATTGTCCCTGAGGACACAATACCCACTGACGACGCATTCTGACGTCACATTCGTGGCTGACGACGCATTACCCCCTGACGAGCATTCTGACGACACATTCAGGGCTGACGACGCATTCTGACGGCACATTCCTTGATGGTGCATACCCTGCAGCCACAAATTCATTTTTGTGTGCAATGTAAGCTTAAGACGAGAAGCGGACATTTTATTTTCGCCTAACACAACGCATCAAACAATATCAAGAGGTCACGAGCACAAAGACTCTGCTAGCTAAGCAGTGCCTACCACTTTTTAAATACTGCCCACTATACCCACTACCTACTACTTACGACGGATTTCTTACTATTTACTACTTAGCACTTTCTACTATGTACGATCTACTATTTACTATCTACTATCTACTACTACTACTACTGCTACTACTACTACTACTCCTATTACTGCTACTGCTACTGCTACTGCTACTGCTACCACTACCACTACCACTATCACTACCACTACCACTACCACTACCACTACTACTACTACTACTACTACTGCTACTGCTACTGCTACTGCTACTACTACTACTACGACTACCACTACGACTACTACTACTGCTGCTACTACTAGTACTAATACTCTATACGTCGTTTTAGTTATAGAAGATATAAGTTTAGTTACCGGAGTACAAGTCTACTTGTACTTCAGTATGTTAACCTGTAGTTCAATAAGTGGCCGTAAGTATAGTTATACGTTTATACTTATAAGTTTTTTGTTTAAGTTACAGTAGAAAAAGTAACATAGAATTAGTCTATAAACTGATGACTTTATCTAAAGGCAAGATATAAGTTAGTTGCATTTAAGTTAAACGAGTTACTTTAAGTTATTCGTAGTTACAGAAGTGTATTATAGCAATATCTGCAGCAGATTTTGACCCGTGCATATAACTCGTGTCGCCAACAGGAGCGACTGTTCTGTCTTCTTCCGCCAGAGGTGTTGGGCATTTCTGCTTGTATGTCTATATTTCTGTAAATATTTGACACGGTATTTGATAGCGTGCGCGAAGTACAATTATGATTGCACTCTTTATGGATGAGGTCAATGTTGGTCAATGTCGGTCGATGTCAGACCCCTGTTTAGAGACACA